TGATTTTGAATAGTGATATGATGGGAAATGTGTGGTTGAAAAAGAAGAAAAAATTATTGATGTGATGGAAAATATTATTTTATTGAAAAATGTGTGGTTGAAAATGAGAATTGATTTACTGTAGAAAAATTTAATCACTCCCAAACAGGACCTAAGTATGAAAGTCTTGTCTTTGCCTAGTTATTTCTTCTGATTGCTGGACCATAATATTAAATTATTAGTGGTACTTTCTTTAATAATAGAATAAATTATCAAGCAGTCCGCGCATCGTTTTCGTGTTACAAATTATAATTTGAATGTGACGCGAAGATAATAACATGTCCAAAATTTATATATATAGATGTGAATTAGGGATGAAGAAAAGTATGAAAAAGTAAATGAGAAAAGGACAAGAACTCATATAATTCTTATCTTATTTACTCATAATTTTAGTATGTTTTTTTTCTCTAAAATACTTCTAAATTTTTTTATTCAAATAAATTGAATGTCAATAAAAAAATTTCTTGCATCGACGCCAATTTATATTGAGTTCCAGGATTTTATCTTAAAAATTGCCATTTATTAAAAAATAGTGGCTCGAGTTCTTATAAATTGTTCATTATTTGCGTATTTAAGTGTAATGGAATTTTATGCTTAACATATCTATATTTAAAATTGGGAAAAAAGAAGTGTATATATAGTAATGAGAAGGGACATTTCTTAGCAAAGGGTGGAGAGAGACCGAGAAGAACAGAAAGAAAAGAAGGAAAGTAGTAAAGGGTTTGGAGAGAAGTATTAATGGCGAAGATTGTGTCGTGGCAGAGGCAGATGCAGTATATTCAAGTAGCTGTGCCTGTATAGGTGCAATAGAGGAGGAGGGTGAGAGTGTAGTGTTAAAGAAATTGGTAGGTCTATGAAATTTATAATGCTGCAGATATGCATTTCTACTACTACTCATTTTCTCTCTCTCTCTCTCTCTCTGTATCTGTACATGAAGCATGTTTTTTATCTTGCTCCCACCTCTTCTTAAATATTCTTCTAGACAGAGAACCATTCCCTGTGTGTGTATGTGTGAGAGAAAGAGAGAGAATAGGATTTGTCAAGAATTTATTAGTCATTTTCTTGAATTTGTTTCTTGTTGGGCTGTTTTGAGTCACCAAGAAGTGTATCTGGTAGCTGGTTACTGCTTTTCTTACCTAATAATTAATGGTGGGATTGTAACTTGTTACATTGTAACACTTGTTCTCATTTTCTGGGCACTGAATGAAATGGGAAGAAAGAAAGGATTTTCATCTGCTATATTGCCTCTCCTTGTGCCATTAGTCCTTTTCATTTTCTGCAGGAAATCTTCGGCCCAATATTCGACTTTAAATTGCACAAAATATAGACGAGTTAGTAGCTTGAGACTTGCTAGGATTCAGAAGCATTTGGACAAGATTAACAAGCCTCCTGTCTTCACCATTCAAGTATGCCATCTTAATTAATTCTTGATCGAAATAGTTTGTTTTACAAAATTGTTGTTATGTTTTTATTAATTTTGGTTGATTCCTTCAGAGCCCAGATGGAGATATCATTGACTGTGTTCATAAAAGAAAACAACCAGCTTTGGATCATCCTCTTCTCAAGAATCACAAGATCCAGGTACAATAAAGAGATCAAAGTACAAAACCCACATTCTCTCTCTCTCTCTCTCTCTCTCTCTCTCTCGACAGACTTTTATTTGAGTAAACGTAAAGCAAAGAACTTTCCGGTTCATGAGTTCTAATTATTTTTCAACTACCAACTACCCCACTTAATTTTTTCATATGAACGACAATATTAGTTGTTAATATTTAATAATATTAATTAATGCAAATTCAATTTCTATTTAAATTTACAGCGAGTACGTCCAGAAATGCCAAAGATGATAAAGACAGATGCAGTGAGAGAGAGGAATAGTAGTGAGAGATTGAGAGGCGGAATTGCTTGGCAAATGTGGCATCAAAAAGGGCAGCGATGTCCAAAAGGTACTGTACCGATTAGGCGAAGCACAGTGCATGATGTTCTTAGAGCTAAATCTTTGTATAATTTTGGGAAGAAACAAGGCAAAATACCACTTGCCAGAAGGATCGATGCACCTGATTTCCAGACTGGCAATGGCCATGAGGTATTCCTCTCTTCGTATATCCCCCTTCTGCACGTATTTATATATCAAGACTTGGGGTTAAATCTTCAAAAGTTAATTTTATTAAGAAAATTAGTTCAAACTCTTATATGTTGGTCTATATATTTTATCTTTATTTGATATAAGATTTATCATTTGGATTATTAAAAATTAAAATAAGGCAGGCAAGCAGGATATTCCGCGCCTATCACGGTGCTTTAAATATTGTAAACATCTGTCTAGGATATAAAATAAGATAAATTAATTAAATTATTGACTATAAATTGAACTCACTACGCATTTGTTTGGCAAATATTTATAAACCGTTGTAATTGAAATGAGCGACAAGTAAATACATAGTAGTTATAGACCAAACAAAAATATGTAAATATAAAATTATTTAAATTTTAGCAACATATAATAAACACTTGTCAAACACGCCCTATGATTTTTGTTTATAATATTGTGTGGCCTAGTTAATTACAAAAGTCAAACGTTTGGATTTAATAGGGGTTAGAGCAACTTTGGAAATCAATCTCTCTCTCTCTCTCTCTCTCTCTCTCTCTCTCTCATTGTTTCATAAGAAAATTACTGAACCCATTAACTAATGTTAAGATAGCAAGTTAGCAGCTCAATCCGATAAGAAGCCAAACCGGTATGTGCTCAATACGGTAAGTTAGTGCATATTCGGCGAGTAGTGACCAACCCGGTAAGTTAGTACATATTCAATGACTGCAATTCTTGCTGTCTTGAAGTTGTTTCACCAGTACATTTTGTTGTAAATGATTCCAAACATGATCCACCAATTTAGGAACTAACCAACAGCAATAGATTCTAGATCATTCTTTCGACATTCTTTTGTATTATATATTTGCAAAGTTATGACAATGAAATTAAGTCGATTGCGTATTCTATCTTCTTTCATTTGTAACTACTAATATTGTCTTGAGAATATATATTTGCGATTCTGATCTGAAAAAGTTACTAATGCACGTAGATATGAATTATAATGAAGTAGATTTAGTTACAATTTCATTTTATGATTTTTTGAATTATCAACCATGTTTTCCCTGTAATCTTTTAGCATAGAATTAAAGCGGCTTGTGAACATGAGTACTCGTATGTAGCAAAAACTCCAACGAAGTAAATAATTGTTGTTGAGAAATGCTATATTACTGAAGAAACTTTCAATTTTTATTTAATCATTAACAAATGACGGTGCCATTAATATTAATTGACAAGTATATTTGGTTTTTTTTTTTTTTAAATGAAAGCATGCGATAGCATACACGGAATCGTCACAAGGGATTTACGGGGCAAAAGCAACAATCAACGTATGGAATCCATCGGTTGAAGTAGTGAACGAGTTTAGCCTCTCCCAAATATGGGTTCTATCTGGATCATTTGATGGGCCAGACCTTAACAGTATTGAAGCTGGTTGGCAGGTACTCATTTCAATTTCCTTGTGCACGCACACACGTAATCAATACACAGCACATTGAATGATCAAGCTAGTATAATAAACTTGTGTTCTAGCTCTCGTATGATAGTTGAGCTTGTATTAAGCTTATATGAAATATTTCGTATGTCCGAGATTAACAATTTATCAATATTTATTTGTAATGTATAAATTAAATTGAATTTCTAAAGTTTTGATAATTGTACTAGTCAGGTTAGTCCTGAGCTCTATGGTGACAGCAGGTCAAGATTATTTACCTATTGGACGGTTAGTTCTCTCTATTTTCAACATTTTTATCTTCTTTTTTTTCCTTCTATTATTTGAATGAAAATATTATGTTCTCTATACTTCATTAAGCACATGAAGAATTTAAACAAAGTAATTGCAAAAAATAACAATAAAAATTAGATACGAAATTTGAAATTACATTTCGTAAAATTAAAAAAGAATATCCATAGAAAAAATTGAAATTGTTAAAAGAATCACGAGTGACCCTACTCGGATATGTTTGCCTAGAAGTCAAAGTTAATTTAGGTCAATTTTTTAGTTCCCAACATGTTTTGACATGTTTCCATTTTTTTTGCCCTTTCAATCAAAAATGTTATTTATTTTTAAAGCAATTCAAACATTATTGTGAAAAAAAAGGGGGGGAAAACACTTATTATATAAGTAAACTTTATAACTTAGCAAAATATGTTGTCAATACATTATATCTAAACATGTGCTTCATCTATGAGTTTGCATCAAGAAAATTAAATGTAAAATGTTTTATTTCTCATTCAGAGTTAGCTATGATTTGGATTCTATCTTCCTCTAATGCTCAAAGTCAACTTAACTTCGGGCAAAGGAAAATTAATAATTTTAATTAAAAAAATATTGTCTTGATTAATTTTGAATTCTCGAAAATGGGGAAGAGGGACCTAAAGCACATGAAATTGTTTAGCTGGTAACAGGCCAACGTATTTAAGAGTACATTAATCCATTCTCGTTATAGGTGAATTTATGGTTTTCAACTAATTTTTTTGCATTAAGGGCATATCCAATGATGGTGTAACGTAAATTTAAATTGTGTTTTAAATCTCTAAAGTGATCGAATATCTCTCCAAAGGAGAGATGTAAAGGAAGTGCAAATTGTATTTTTCGACAGAAAACATTAAAAAAGCATATTTTTTACATCTAGTTTTATATTTAAAAGAGGCAAAAAGTGGATTTTGATGTTCTCATTACAGCAAAATTTGAATTTAGATCACCCAAATGTAAATGATGCTTTAAAAGTGATTTTGAAAATAATAATTTAAATTATCATTGGAGATGCTCTAACATTTGTACGTGGCATGGGGGATCTTAGAATTCGGGAAATTCAATAATTTATAACTGCATTTAATGAAGTTGTCTAACACGAATTATACAAGTCGAGGGAAGCATGACTTAGTTGGATGGTAGAAGAGGTCAAAAGAGAGAGTACTAATAAAACTTTTAGTTGACCTAACAAGGAATTGAACAAAATTAAAAATAAAAATAAAAATAAAACAGCCATACGAACATGGTAAGCAACAAGGTATATTGGCTTGAGTCAGCTAACTTTATATCTCTAAAGCAAATTTGTATTTGTTTAGTTTCCGATTAAATGAACTCATTTCATTTTGTTTTCATTATTTGTGTTGATAAATTGAAGAGCGATGCCTATCAAGCAACGGGATGCTACAATCTTCTATGTTCAGGATTCGTGCAAACAAACAGTCGCATAGCCATTGGAGCAGCCTTTAATCCGGTGTCATTGCTAAACGGAAATCAATTCGACATGGCCATCCTCATATGGAAGGTCCTTAAAATCCAATCTTTTTAACATATTTAATTTAAAAGTACCCGAAAAAAAAAATATATTCAAAAACTTAATAATTCTTTATTTTCAGGATCCGAAGTTGGGAAATTGGTGGATGGGTTTCGGCGGCAATACTTTAGTGGGCTACTGGCCCACTGAGCTATTCACACACTTAGCGGATCAGGCCACGATGATCGAGTGGGGAGGAGAAGTCTTGAATTCTCGGCCCAATAGTGAGCACACTTCAACCCAAATGGGCTCGGGCCACTTTCCCGAAGATGGGTTTGGTAAAGCTAGCTATGTTCGGAACCTCGAGATTGTGGACTCGGATAACAGCCTGAGATCGGCCCAAGACAATAGTTGGAACCGACTTTTATATTTTTGCTACAATATCAAGAGTTCCTATAACAATGAATGGGGAACACATTTTTTCTATGGTGGGCCTGGGAAAAGCCCAAAGTGTCCATAAAAAAAGACGAAGAAGAAGAATAAGAAGAAGTTCTAATTGCCAAATTATTCATTTAGGCTCCGTTTGATTGCAAAGTTGGAAGATGGGTGGAAAGAAAATGTTTTGTAAGGAATTGAATTGCCTAAAAATTGTTTTACTGATAAATGTAATTAATTGTGTTTAATTGATATAATTTTTCACTTGAAAAATGTTGAAAATTTGGTATCCGTTTGATTTTGTTTTTTATTTAAATTGTCCATTAAAGTAATAATTTTTATACCATTGAGTTTAGAATTTGTTCCAATTGCCAAAAAAAAAAAAAAAATTTATCATACCGAATAACATTCGTTTGACTTTTTTTTNAAGGGTATAGGGCCTAATTTCCTCTAAATTTTTTTACCATTGTGTCTATAATTTTTTTTCAATTGAAAAAAAAATGGAAAATCAATTTCCACCAAATTATAAAACCAAGGAAAATGTGAGCATGTGAACCAAACCAAGAAAGTTTTTTCCATGGAAAAAAAAGTGCATCAAACAAGGTAAAAGTGAGAATTGGAACTTGTTTTCCATTTTCCATGAAAAATAATGACCTATCAAACATGCCCTTAGTTCTTAAAAATTGTAGAAAATATTTACAACCATGTTTCTGCTAGTTCCATAATGTTTCAAATTTTGTCTAGCTTGTGAGAAATGAATGATTTATACGTGAAGTAATAAATAAATATAAATTATTGAATGGAGTTAAAAGAACAAACTTGAGTGATATACTAATCACAAAGTCAGTAATAGTGAGATGTATATCGTGTTGATTAATTTTTAAATTATTTAAAGTCATAAGGACTAATGAGACGTGGATATCAATAGTTCTTATAGGCTAACACATTACACTTTTCTTTACAGAAGATAGTAGTTGATATTACCGACTAGAGTGTATGAACACTCGAGTAAATATATGGATACCCTATAGCTGAACAATTTCATTAGAGACCTGCCATAGAAATTATACATTGATGACTGTCTTAGTGCCAGTGGATTATATCAACATGACGATTCTAAAACTAATAGTTGATATAATTATGAAATCGATTGTTACACTTTGATGGTACTTACTGTATATGACTCTTTTGGAGATGCTATTGAATACTATTTGAGTATGATAGGAATGGTTAATAAATAATTTATCACTCTTAGATAATAAGAAATTGTGTCTTATCGAGTCCGGTCCTCACTAGTTTCTTTCTTAAGTAGGCTAACATGAATAACCTTATAAGGACCATTAAAGTTTGGGAGAAAGTTTCAAATTCAATTGTTTATAAATATCTGAATGAAAGTTTTTTTAGAGTCGTACACTTGTTGTTAAGTTATGAAACTTAGTTATTAACGTTGTACTTAGAGTGGGGGCAAGAAGTCATAATATCAAGGAACAAATTTTCATTAAAGATAATTTATAAATTTCGCACTTGTAATTCGATTTTATCTTAATTTATCTTAGGGGTCCCTTCTTTTGCTTTGTCTGATTCAAGGTACTTTGTTCACGACTTCCTACTGCCTAGCTGATGATACCTAGGAAGTTACCTCACATCACATGTCAAGGCTTGTTCTTATGCCTCGGATCTTGAGAATCTCTTTCACTGGAGCACGACCCTTCTCCAATGTGTCAAAGGATTGTGCCTTGCTGAACTCATCGGATTGAGCATGTAGTAATTGGTCGAAAAGCCTTGAATTGGGGCCTATTTTTTCCAACCTCATAATATATTGGCTAGTTCTGTTCCATCCCTAGGTACCCATTGGGGCCCGCCTCATCAAATATTGAAGGAGGAAGGACACTAAGCACCATAGCAATATAACTCTGGCTCGAGGTAAGATAGGCATGTTGATACCTCTTCTAGTGTTGTTGCTAGTTCTGTAGATTGGGGAAGCGGCCTTGATCTCATCCCCTCGATGTGTGAGGTCCTCTGCCTCTTCTACTAATGGTTAATCATATCTTCCATTATAATTTCCTCAATTAGGTCTACTAATTGGTCGTAGATAGTTGGATTTTTGTTTCTAACATTCATCCATAATAAGGTGCTCAAGTTGAATCGTCATTGATAGCAGAGAAAGCATATGCATCTGAGATGTTTTTGTAGTTGGTTATCTTGTTTGTAAAGTGGGTTAAGTAGATTTTCAGCGCCTCATCCTCTTGTGGAGTCATTGCATGGGGTTGTTCATACTCCAAAGGACACAATGGCATAGATAAACAACTTCAAATCTAGCCAACTTCTGATGCTCTTTGGGCAAAGCTTTGTACCACCTCTTTGCCTAATTAGATAGGGTTAGGTAGAACACTCATCACCTCAACGCAAATGAGGCACCTATTAGTCGTATCTACATTTTATAAGTACTGAGATGGTCTGTGAGATCATCTCTCTTGTAGTATAGAAGGATTTTGGGTATCACAAAGTTTGAGCAAACGAATGTTATCCTGATCTTCTCAAAAAAGAAATATGGTCATCATCACTATAGAATAATGGATATTTGATTCGTGGAATCCGGGCTCAGTTTCATTGAATCAACCACCACAATTATCAACCAAACACCACAAACCAATCCCCACAATAGGTTGCTTTTGAGTTGCCCACAAAAGGCAATGTGTGAAGGTTTATTTTAGCATTAAGATCAGCCACAAAGGCTAAGGGAAGGAGAAGAAAACCAAACACTAAAATCGGAAAGCACGAAGCCAGAAAGCTAGGAACAGAGATGCCATTTTCTCTTAACCAAAGGGGACTAGTAAACCAATTTCACACACGTGAAAACAACAGTAATGCATAGCCTAAATAATGGCAAGTGTGGGCTTTTGGGTTAAAGGATAATAAGGGCCCAATAGGTAGCAAATATATGGGTTGTCAACCAAAAAGCCATCCAAGGTAATAGGTTGAGCCATGAGTAGTACTAATTAAATTAGGCTATTTCAAATTGCCAAAATAGGTTGCAAAATCGATCTAAACAATTGTAGTGTCGATATTTTACTTCACTCATCGGTCGAGGCCTATGAAATATAATCCAAAAAAATGGTTTAATATCATCGTCCGGGATTTATTAAGTATCAAAAACCCAACAAATCTCCACCTTAATACACAATCAATCTGCAAGAAAACAAAAAACAAAGTTTATACTTGCATAATCAAGGTAACCAATAAAATTGAAATCACAGACCTTACCTCGTGTTTCAAACCCGAAACACATACCATACCTGCTTCATATAATCATCGGGGCTAAGGTCAAGAATACCCAATTAGAAGCAGATAATCACAGTAATCATTCAAAAACAAATAAACATGTGATGGAGATACCATATAAGATAACACAAATCTTTTCACAAAAAGACACATTCACACAGAACAATAGATTAACACCAAGTTAATCAAGCACACAGTCAACACATATGCAACAATTGCATAAATGACCTCATGAAAATATCTCACCACATTTATCCTATCTCATTCTGTGTTGCTCACACCACAAGAACACATATCTCACCTTATCATCCACCAAGCTCACTAGATTGATCACTCAACCCATGTCTAACTCGTAAGTCTCTATAGATCCTAAGTTCTCGAGATAATCCTCTATCACCACATTGCTTCTCCCAATGTATGTGTATGGACATGCAGTCGCATAGTTACTTTTTTTTGCTCCTTCGTCCGCTGTTTGGACCAAGTTGATCCATCTTGTTTCTTCTTCCAAGCCCAACGTGAAACTTGTTTCTCTACTTGTTGTGATCGATGTTTCGTCCACTATAGATTGAGCAAGCAATACCATAGTTTCCTTAACATTTTTTGCTCATGCATCATCATTGGTTATTTTTCTACAATCAATGGATCCTTGTCCTCACTAGCTCTCATACCATGGTTCTTATCACCTGAAGTCTTTGATGTCCTTTGATAGATGTTAACATTTTATATTACTTGTCTTCCTCGTGTGTTAAGATTCAACAAAAGGATGAAATGTTGGATCAAATTGACCACAAGCTTACAAGGAATGAGGAATAGTTTTTTGTTGTTGTAGATGTCTGATGTAGGATGAATTAGAATTCAAGCCAAGAAGAAGATAAAACCAAAAGAAGAAGAAGAAGAACATAATTAATAAAAATCAACAATAAGATAAATCGTAATGTCCACATCAACTCTCTCGGGGTAGGAGAAAACTCAACTCTGTCGAGTGGATAAACTTCTACCACTGGGGATGATTTTTCGTAAGAACCAAATATTGAAACTCTATGCTTGATAGTAATGAAAAATGTAGCTTATTCCCAAGAATATGATTCAGCCAAGGTGGACAATCTCTCCATCTAATCAAGTACCAATACTGGACTCTGAATAACAAACACACATGCAATTCATCTTTAAAACTTTCATTTGGTTGTGCATAAAGAGAAGCATAAGAAGCTAGCATCACATACTGGCTTATAAAGAAAAATGATCGCAACATCGAAGGCTCGACTGGGCCCCGATAAGTAAGCAATTATTCTGTAATGAAAATGTACCTTTCATTTAAGTAAGATGGCCAGTCAAATC